GTTTTTGGTTAAAAGTTGAAGTCGGGATGCGTGGATATCTTTCAGTCAGCTTCCTGCGAGGCTGGTCTCAGAGCTCAACAGCTCCAACTGCAACTAACTTCTCTCTGACTCTCTAATCCCAACTGCTTTCTCAACTCGCTGCGACTCTGCTTATATGGACGCCGACCAAAACCGGATGTGGGTTTGTCGTGGTTTGGGGTTCCTCGATAATTCTAAATCCACAACAAGGGTTTTCTTTTTTTTCGGACAGGAAAATTTATCACTTTCCATTTTTGGAAGTTCATTACTTTTTGCTTTAGAGGGGTTCTTAAGGGTATCGTCCTCCCAAATTCTTCCTTTCTCATATTGGTATCTCACACCAATCCCCTCAGAGGGCGTCAACAGGTTCCCCTTCTCTCTCACAGTTTACCTTCGCCTACCGCTCACGCCACCATTCAGCCAAGGAACGCCCAGCAGTGTGGGTGTGGCTAGACTGGCCTTAGTTTAAAAATTTCGCTCAAAGGAAAAAAATTATCTTCCTTTTTTTTCTTTCTTTCTCTTCCCCGAGCAGACCTCCCACGACACGTAGTGTGGTCCCTAATCTCTAACTTAAACGAATTTCATCTGGAGTTCGTCAACGAAATGTTCGTCAAATAATCATTGGGGTTGGACAAATGAATCTCTTTGTCTCCTTAATGCCTACGTGCTTCCGTCGCCAAAATCTGTCCAGGCAACAAACTCTTATCATGGCCAGCTCTGACATAAAACAGGTGTTTTTCCCAAAACCAAATGATATCTCCGAAAGATAGTTAATGGTTTATTCTTTTCCCTTTCTCTCCCTTTCTCTCTGTGGGTGGCCTTCAGCTGATGTCTTTCTCGGTCAATTTCTTATTGCCTTATTTTTACTTTTCTCGCTTTAATTATTTTCTACACTTTATATATATATATATATATTTCATATATATATGTGTGTGTGTGTGTGATATTTATTTACGGTCGTGAAAATGAAAAGCGAGAAACACACAATACTTTTGAAATAATATATATATATATATATAATATATATATATATATATATATATATGTATGTGTGTGTGTGTGTGTGTGTGTGTGTGTGTGTGTGTGTGTAGGCAGCATATTTTCATCCAAGCTTTTTTGCTTGGATGAAAATATGCTGAAAATATGCTGAAACTATGGTTATATGGTGAAATATAGGAAAATATGGTTAAATAATTTAGACGTATTTTTGGTTTTAATCCTTTAGTCTACGAATTAATTTCTTGATGGCTGGAGAAAATTGATCAAAAAAAATTTGAAAGAAAATTTTGGATTTTTTCTTAATCAATTTTCTAGACACACACACACACACACACACACGTACCTTTTTCTTTTTCCTTATTGTTGCCCTTGTACAAGATTTTTTCCTTTATTAAGGGTATTTAGCTATTTTGGTAACCAACATGGTTTTTATTTTTCTTTAATTATATATATGGTGTTTTTATTGAATAAATTTCCTCTTTGGTATTTCAAGATATCTTTTGGTAAATACATCTGTTAAAATAAGATGTCATATTTTCGGGGCGTCTACTCAAATACGAGTATCCACTCAAAATAACGTCGGATTAATAAAGAGCCGTTGACTTTCTTTCGAAAAATGGCTTTTTTTACATTTGGATACATAATACTGCAGATCTTAAGAATTTAGGGAGATGACGAGAAAAGTTTCTATTAAAGACACAATTTCGGCCATGTCTGATCGACTGGTTCTCTGTAGTACCGTGTCTAACGATAGTTCCGTCTACCCGGGTAACACATGTTCGAATCCACTGGACAAATATACTGTTCAATAAATAAACAGAGCGTCTTTATCAAGTACGTGTATCCATTGAAAAAAATTGAACAAATAAAAATGTGTCCGATTATTAATTAAAAAAAATCCTTTTCTTTATAAATTGGTTTGTTTACATTAGGCTTCTTAAACACTCTATTTGTATCTTTTCATTTATTGGTCTTATCGAGAAATCACATTAGACAAGCAGATATGTCTATTTCAAGAGTCAGATAAAAAAATATGAGTATCAACTAAAACTAAGGTTTATATTATTAAATATGTCAGATTAAAAAATAAATCCATTACTTCTTTACAAAATTGCTTTGTTTACGTTTGGATACGAACCTGTGTAGATATGAAAAATTTCGAGGGATCTATGACGAGAGAAGTTTCGCTTAAAAGTACAAAATTCAACCTCGGCTCAGACGGACGTAGGTTCTAATCCTGCCCGAGTGCGCAATATTTTTTTTATAAGATTTCTCGGACATTCAAACCTGTAGATGAAAATAATTATACTGTTTAATAAATAATTATGGCGTCTAACTCAAATACGAGTATCAACTAAAAATAATGTTTATAGTGATCAAAGATATGTGTGTCTATAGTGATGGGAATACATGTTATGGCCGTCTTCAAAGTTGATATTATTGAGCGTTGGTATATTTATTTTATTATTAACTCTTCCTTTAATTTAAACCAATTTTTACAGACAGAAAAGATTTTTGTCCAGAAAAGAAAATACGTATACGAATGCAAGAAAAATTGAGTAAAAATACATATATATATATTGTACATGTCAATTTTCTTTTACTAAAAAACTTGAATTCTTCCATTAATTATAGGAATAATGCCATTTTGCCTATGGAGGCATGGTGGAGTAATGGATAGCGGCTTGGATTGAGGAATCGCACAATCCAGTTGAATCCATTGCATTCACTTACGTGCTAATACCCTTGGGAAAGGTATGAATCCTCTCCCTCCAGCTATGGGTAAATAGTAGGACAGACTGGGTTCTATAGCCTTGGATGGCAACTGTTCTAGGAGAAGGACAACTCTGAATTCAAAATTTGCGGAGGTTCGTCTGAGTACCTTGTGGCACTGAGTGCACCAGGTCTCTGAATTCGGCCTTTCAAAAAGTGTGGCTGGTCGACCTTTCAAAAAGTGTGGATGGTCCTGCACGAAACTTTCACCACTATAATCAAAATCTCATGTGCTGTTGTCAGACTGTCGGTTTCTTGGAAACTGATCTGCTTGACCCTCATACATCGAATTCGACGGGGGAGTCGACTATATATATATATATATATATATATATATATTAAATTTACTGATTTAAAAATATGGTTCCATCGCAACACAGAAATTGCCATGTTTTAAAAAGAGAAGATAAAAACTTCAAATTCAGTTATAGAATTAAAGGGGTAGGGTATTTTGATACACTAGTTGTCAGTGAAAATGAATACCCTACTGTCCCTTGTTAAAATTATTGGATTTCCCCATATCCTTAGAAACTAATATTATGAATGTATGTGCTTATAAAACTCAGTAAATTTCAAAATAGGTTATTCCAAAATCCGCTTGAAAAAATTAAAGAGGACTAGGGACTTTAATTTAATTCTGTAATTGAATTGGAAGTTTTTAGCTTCTGTTTTTGAAACATGGTAATTCCCGTGTAGAGACGGAATCATATTTTTAAATTGGTAAATTTGTAATATTTATGCTCTGTAGATTTGCATTGAACCCTGTTTTGTAAAAATAAAAATATTAATAACACCGGATTATATATCTTAGTGTTCTTTCTCTTTAATATAATACACGCATATATATATATATATATATATATATATATATATATATATATATATATATATACTACAGTTCAAAAGTATGACACTACGCCTGGTATTGTTTTAAATTGTTCCCAAAAAGTAGTTGTTTTGTACTTTAAATAAGAAATATTGTACATGGTTAAAAAATTGATATATGATTTTTTTTATTAGAAATTTTATTGTTTCAACAAGAAAAAAGCATTTTATGATAAAATTTTGCACCCGTCAAAATATCCTCCTTTATCCTTGATTACTGCAACACAAATCTTTGGCATTCGTTGCAAAAGATTCTCAAAGTGTAAGTGTGATAATTGATTCCATTCTTTTTTCATTTTTTTTTTCACTTTTCTGTGAAGTTCATTCTGAGAGTAGCTTCAAACTTTTGAAGTGTATATATATATATATATATATATATATATATATATATATATATATATATATATATATATATATATAATATTTCTTTTCAATTTTCAAAAAACTTGAATTCTTCCATTTTCTTGATTATGGGAATAATGCCATTTTGCGTTCTTTTATTGTCTTCATTGCCAAAATATACGGATCTTGGAGTGAGATGCCTCTGTGAAGAGTCACTGATAACTAAACATTGTTTATCTCAGTAGCTTTTGTTATGCTTTCTTGCAATTAATGATATCTACTTCTGCGTTTGTATGCAAAGATAAAACGATATCTATCTCTAAAAAACGCACCTGAAGAAGGACTAAGCATTGTAGATGAAACGTCTCAATTAAAAAAAAAAAAGAAAAAGAAACTGAAAAGAGAAATTTTGAAGCTACCAGATCAAAAATTCATAACTTGAAAGAAGTAGAAGCTTGTGGTATATCGGGCCATAGTCTCAACAGGCAATAAATGGCTGCTGTTGTTTCTGTAGTTGTAGCGGGGGTGAGTTTCTAGACCCCCACCCCGAACCTAGACTGGTTGCCAACCAAAGCTAAGAAAAGTTGTATTCATACCTTTTCAAGGGTATTTGTACGAACGCAACGGCATCGGTTGGAATTTGAACCCGATACGCCAATGCCAACTTTCCGTGCTGCTAAAGGCAAATGGCTACGCGAATATGTAGTTAAAAAAAGAAATCATTAAAAAAAATTTGATCCGAACACGGAAATTGGCAACGTTATCAGAAAAAGATAAACAATATTTGGAAATATGAGAGAAAAGAAAGAAAGAAACAAACAAACAATCAGGAAGGAAAATAAACAATAATGAGAAATACAAAGAAAGAAAGAAAGAAAGAAAGAAAGAAAGAAAGAAAGAAAGAAAGAAAGAATTATAAAGGATAATGAGATATGCAAAGAAAGAAAGAAAGAAGGCAAAGAAAGAAAGAAAATAATTAAGAATTATAAACGATAATCAGATCTGCAAAGAAAGAAAGAAAGAAAGAAAGAAAGAAAGAAAAGAAAAAAGAAAGAAAGAAAGACGACAAAGAAAGAAAGAAAGAAAAGAAAGAAAGAAAGAAAGAAAGAAAGAAAGAAAGAAAGAAAGAAAGAACAGAGGAGAAAGAAAGAAAGAACGAACGAAGGCAAAGAAAGAAAGAAAGAAAGAAAAGAAAGAAAGAAAGAAAGAAAGAAAGAAAGAAAGAAAGAAAGAAAGAAAGAACAGAGGAGAAAGAAAGAAAGAACGAACGAAGGCAAAGAAAGAAAGAAAGAAAGAAAGAAAGAAAGAAAGAACAGAGGAGAAAGAAAGAAAGGACGAACGAAGGCAAAGAAAGAAAGAAAGAAAGAAAGAAAGAAAGAACAGAGGAAAAAGAAAGAAAGAAAGAACTGAGGAAAAAGAAAAAAGAAAGAAAGAAAAAGGAAGAAAAATAATTAAGAATTATAAACGATAATCAGATATGCAAAGAAAGAAAGAAAGAAAGAAAAAAAGAATCAGGAAGGTAAATAAATATTAGTGAGAAATACAACGAAAGAAAGATTGAAAGAAAGTAGAAAAGTATAAGGAAGAGAAAAGACAAAGTGAAATATAAAGAAAGAAAGAAAGAAAGAAGCCAACTAATCCCTAATATATACGTTACATATTTTGCTACTAGACAGGCTGAAGTCTCTTCTGTGAACAATTGCAAAGTCTTTCATTTTGAGATTCAGTTTCTTAACGACTTCGAAGGATTTCATCCTCTCTCTGCCTGCCACTAAATAATTGTGGAAGCTCCGTTTACAAATCCGAAGTCTTTTTTTCTGTAACTAGTTGACTTGAGGCTTAACCTTGCCTCTCATTGCTGTAATATGAGATCGAAGTCTAAAGGTCTCTTTATAATCGACTGAAGTATCACTGAAAAAAATGTCTTCAATTTAATCCAACCAAAAAGGAATCTTTCAAACACTAGCACTTTCATGGCAAAACCCATTATCATTTGTAACCCTGCGGAAAGTAAAAATGAAAAGACTAGATTCCAGGAAGCTAAGCTGAGACGACATCATTTTACCATTGCCATTAAATTAAAATACAAAGAAGAATTTGCAATGTTATTGGACCTCATCTGGCATCTCGATTTCAGTTATTTTCCCACCGCCATAACGTAACTTTCCCGAAACTTTTCTATAAATATCTTCATGGAAATTGGCTTACGGTCTCATCATATTGAAACACTGGTACGATCAGCGAAGTTAAGCAATGTCGAGCCTGGTCAGTAACTAGATGGGTGACTGCTTGGGAATACCAGGTGCTGTGTGGGTGGTGTAATGGCTTGAAATTGTTAATCGGAGAGCTGAGTTCCAGTTCCAGTCGGGTTCGTTATATTCACTTAGGCGCAAATACCGTTGGGAAAGGTATGAATCCACTTGTTCTCCCCAGCTATGGGTTAATTAGTATGACATATCACTAAACCATTGTTATGTCCAAAAATAAAATAAAATTGCGTACAAAATATCTAGAATTAAGCATTAAATGACCCATATGGGTATTGATATGCCGCTAAACAAAAACAACCAACCAATTCATGATACATAGACTTTATGAATTTCAACGCAGTACTAGATTGACCTCAACATTTTACAGTTGAAATGGCTAGATGTAACCTAGGCTAAAAGTTTATTTTTTCGCACTTCCTGTCTGTGAAACTCTCTTCCGGTTTCTTTCTTCCCAGACAACTTTGATCATCAAAAATTCCGGTTTCTTTCTTCCCAGACAACTTTGATCATCAAAAATTCTCAGTACCCACCCCCATTGCTTCTTAGTGACTTGCTTGGAGTGAAATGATTAAATAAATAAATCTTCTTGGTGGTCAGTCTACTTTTCTTGCTTGATCGATATGAGAGATTACAAAAATTATTAAAAACTACAGAGGAAAGGAAGTTGTGAGGAGTTATGCTCACCCATGTCCTGAAGGGACAAGGCTCGTAGAAGAAGAACGAGTTTGAGTAAATGGATAGCAGAAAATGGTTTAAGAGAGATTTTAAAAAAGACAAACATTAAGAGCTACAAAGGACAGGAAATTGTGGAGAGCCATGATCACCAACGTCCTGAAGTGACACGGCATATAGAAGAAAACCGAACTTGAGTAAATGAATAGTAGAAAACGGTTTAGGAGAGATAAGAAAAACACAAAATTTATTAAGAGCTACAAAGGAAAGGAAGTTGTGGAGAGCTATGCTCGCCCATGTCCTGAAGGGACAAGGCACGAAAAAGAAGAAGAAGAAGACTGAGCTTAAGTAAATGGATAGTAGAAAACGGTTTAGTTTACCCTGTTTTACTAAGCGGCTTTTGGTCATATCACGTGGAAACACTGAAGTTAAGCAACGTCAAGCCTAGTCAGTACCAAGTCGAGCGCTTGGGAATAACAGGCGCTGTATGCTTCGGTAAGCAGTTGATGGACTAGGAATTGGAAAATCGAAGAGACAAGTTCCAATTCCAATCGGGTTCGTTATATTGCCTTACGCACAAATATTTTCATGGCAACTGATCTGACGAGCTACTTTCCCTGGTACCCCAATTGCATGAATTTAAGCAGTTAAATGTAACGGCCTCTTCTACTACAACTTCTTACACTTCCCAACAGTGGAACTCCCTTCCTCTTACTTCCTTCCCTGATAGCTATAATCTTCAAATATTCAAATGTAATGTCAATCGACATCTTCTGATGCCTTGATCCTGATCCCCCTTCCTTCTCTATATCCTTTCCTCAAACAGACTTATTTACTCTTTACTCTTACTCACACTCTCTGTAACCCCCTTGCGTGCTAGTGGTACTCCCGCCTTGCTTGGGATGAAATGCTTAAAAAAATAACCTTGGGAAAGGTGCGGATTCGCCTTATCTGCTCCAGCTACGGGCTAATTTAGTAGAACTTGTATCAGTGAATCATTATTATCTCAAAAAAATCTAACAAACTGAAGATATTTTCTAGCTTTAAATGACTTGCAAAACGTTGATAATCCGTAAAAAAAACAATCATTTACTAAGCCTAGCGCAGTCTGGAACACGACTATAAATATGGGGCAGCCAGGGCACATATGACAGACATGTGAGATTAGCGCACCTTGTGAAAGGTATGAATCCACCTGTTAGATAGATAGATAGATAGATAGATAGATAGATAGATAAAGTAGGTAGGTACAGACAAATAGGCTGAGATAGATAGATAGATAGATAGATAGATAGATAGATAGATAGATAATTGTAAATAGTTGTGAAAGGAAATTAGTTTTTTGATGGACGAACAAGATAAAGATGAAAGCTATCTAAAATAAATGAGAATAACTGAAAGCATTCTTAAGTTGACAGGCTGACACATCAACAAATAGATGATAAATAAACTAGCTATGCGTTCATTAAAATAATGAAGGCGTTTTTTTTTTTCCTTTTAATATCCCAGGCTTTAATTTTCCTAAAAGGCCAACGAAGACAAATATAACTGTGTGTTCATGTCCAATTAATAAGTTGTAAAGAGGAAAAAAAATGAAATAATTGGATAAAAACATATCCAATAAAAGCGAAAAACAAACTCTTTGCTAAGGAATAAAGAAATCTGGATAGTATGAACTCAAGAATAATTCTAAAGGGAATTTCTTGGGAACGATTCTAAAGACCCTTAGCCAAAAACATTCATGGGCCTCAGGAATTGGTACAACGAATTTAAAAACTCTTTGCCAAAATCGTTCATAAACCCGATGTAGTTGTTAGAACTATTCTAAAGATCTTTGCAAAAACATTCGGAGATCCGAGGGTATTAGATCGATTCTAAAGACACTTGCAAAAAAAAAAAAAAAAAAAAAACTTTCGTAAAAAACAAGAAAGTGTTGGAACGATTCTAAAGACTTTCGCAAAAAACAAAAAAAAAACCTTTCATAAACATGAGGAAGCGTTGGAACGATTCTACAGATCCTTGCAAAAGCCGTATTCCTTATAAAGTCTACGTCAACTCTATACTACGAACGTCTCTAAAATTGTATTTCCTATTTTTTCTCAATCGGAGTAGATAGGTTCGCCTATCGCCCTGATCACACTCCTCCCCGGTCTTTTGAATAGGAGTCGAGATTTATCTCTTGTTCCCGCTTTAGGATTGGGTTATCCGTTTCCTTCTAAAGTCTACTTGTCTTTATTACATTTAATAAGTTTATTATGCATCTCAAGGCAGATCATATTAGAATGAACGAACGTTGCAGAAGACAGGTGAAGAGTTGATCTGAGGTGAACTCTTAGCCGGAAAATTCATCATTCACCCGATGTAAGTGGTAACCTCGAATATGTAAATACATGTCGGCCCAGCTGCACATGGTTTGCAAGCGTAGGAAAGAACCATATTATAGGCAGATAAATACCCACCCCAAAGACATGAACTATAATATAAACTTATTAAATGTAATAAAGACAAGAAAAGTTCCTAGCAGTAAATGAAAATGAAATATTGATTTCGAGAGGAGAAGAAAAAAAAATTAAATTAAATTAAATAAAAAAGAACACCGGTGTTTAGAAAAAAAGAAACAGTATTCATTCATTTCCCGCTCCCCTCGAAGGTGAAATGAATTTAATCCCAAGATACCTCATTTCCGCGTGGGTAGAGACAAGATTTGACCTCTTTACTCAGCACTTGCATTTTTGGCATGCTGCAGGCATCAGGTATTTACCCTGGGGTTCTTTTTCTTATCACAATTTGAGATGCTCTCTTGGGGAGTGCCTGCCTCTCGAACAATACATTCACATTTTTTTTCTTTTTTTCTTTTTTTTTGTTGCTTCCGTCTAAAACAGAAATTTCTTTGTTAGTCTTCCAAGTAGAAAGGAGGATAAATTTTGTTTGAAAACAAAGGCAAAAATAAAAGAGAAAATACAGACGTTATTTAAATCTGAACAGACATTATTGAGAAGTTCATAATGTAAAACAAAGTGAAGAAAAGATAAAAGAAAAAAAACAGCAACTCATTCAAGATGAGTTGCTGTATATTTAAAACTGGGAAGAAAAGGCGCAGGAAGAGATTAAAGATCGCCAATGAAGAAATTGTATATCGAAAGTGAAAGTAAAAAACTAGAAATTGGGCATCGAAAGTGAAAGTAGAAAACTAGAAAATGTGCATCAAAAGTGAAAGTGGGAAGCTATAAATAAGTGAATTTCTGACCGAATGTGTATTGATAGAGGCGGATGGATGTGACACGCTTTGGCAACCATTTTTCGATCGCTTTTCGATTCATTAAAGAGTACATACACATAATTGAATATAATGAACCCGGCTGCGATTGGAGCTTCTCTCTTGGATTTCTCATTTCAAGAGATCGTCCATTGCATCAAACGTACACTTATTTTATTATTCAAGTAAAAAATTTTCGTATAAATTTCGTATTAATCAATTGATATCTATAAGGGTTCCATAGCATACAATGTGCAATAATTTTAATTTCTACTATCGATCCATATCAAACAATATTGATAACTTGTCAGGTTTTGTTTTGCAAAATCACTTTCAATTTTTTTTAATTTTTTTTATTTACGAACAACAGAATCCCACATACCAGAATAGATTATTATTATTATTATTATTATTATATTATGGTTCATGTCAATATGGGCTTCCTCGCATTTTATAACCTGCATCAGTCTCTCAACCATTGATTCTGTCTAATTTTTTTTATAGTTTCAACAATTTTTACTGCTTCACAGAAATCTTTGCTGTTTTCCATTGAACAATATATCTCTCATAATGCTAGCTTTCTACTGGATTAATATCTGGAAAAGCTTAAAGCCATTATATTTCACAATTTATTCCTGCCTCAAAAACAAATCTAGTCTCACTGACAAAACTCACCTGGCCATGCGTCTCGAAAAGGACCTCCTCGATTGTGAACTGGGGCATGAATTGGCTGGTCAACTTCAAGGCTTCTAAGACAAAACTGCTCTCTATTAATCACCACAGAGAGCCTTCCCTTCCCTCCGTTAGAATGTCTGACGCTCAACTTTTCGAGAGCAACTGCCTGCGGCTGCTCGGTCTCACGTTGACCTGAGATGGAATAAATACATTGAGTCAATTGCTTCGTCCACCGCAAGGAAAGTTGGCTCCCTGAGCCGCGCCAGGAAGTTTTACTCCCCGGAGTCGATCCTCCAGATCTACAAATCAACAATTCGCCCTTGCATGGAGTATTGCTGCCATATATGGTCTAGTGCCCCTTCTGTTTGCCTCGGGGTTCTTGATAGGCTCCAGAGGCGGATATGCAATGTAGTTGGCCCTGCTCTGGCATCTCGTCTACAGTCACTTTCTCACAGACGCGCCGTCGCCTCCCTCTGTCTGTTCTACAAATACTTTCATGGAAATTGCTCCGAGGAGCTGCATTCGCTGGTTCCCAGACTTCATGAGTTCAAGCGCCCTACGAGGCTGGCATCCCGCTCTCACACCTTCACTGTCGAAACTCCTAAATGTAGCCGTCTCTTCTACTCTAATAGCTTCATGTCTCGCACTTCTCGCCTGTGGAACTCCTTTCCCTTCTCCTGTTTCCATGTGAGCTATAATCTCCAGCTATTCAAATGTAAGTGTAATTCGACATCTCCAGTTGCCTTGATCTATCCAATACCCTCATCCTTTCTTCTATCACTCCTATCTGATCTTGCTCTAAATTTTGTGTAACCCCTTTGCGTCCTAGTGGCTTCCCGCCTTGCATGGGGTGAAATGCTTAAAAAAAAATTGGTGTTTTTGAAACCATTATTTCGCTAAGTGGCCATATGTTTCGGGAAGGAATGTCTTCTTATTGCAATGTCTTATTTCAAGCTCAACTTGTATGTATATGCATGTATATTTGTGTATAGATTAAATGGCAGAAGAACCTGGCAGCTACTTGTGTACATTATGTGATGGACAGAGACTTACCTCTTTTTATAAGATAAATTTTATATGTTAATATCGACTTCTAGACATTCTGTAACCTTCATCTGTCTTTCAACCATTGATTTTACTTACCTTTTTCTACTGTTTCTACTTTACTAGGAAGTCTAGACGTTTTCTTTGCGTGAATGATGTGGCTTACGTGCACATCACGTTGAAAAACTGGTTCTCATACGATCACCGAAGTTAAGCAACGTCGATCCTGGTCAGTACGTAGATGGGTGACGCTTGTCAATACCAGGTGCTGTAACATTGGTTGTGCGGGTGACGTTTGCATAACGGCACGGAAATGGAAATCGGAGATCCGAGTTCCAATTCCAGTTGGGTTCGTTATATTTACTTACGCGAAGATACTCCTGGGAAAGGTATAAATCTATACCTACTCCCCCCATCTATTGGTTAATTAGTAGAACGTAAATCCTTATTATCTCCCCGAAAAAGGTTCGTCAAAACAACAGACATTTTATGTCAAATACGTTTTTTTCTTATTTACTGATTATCCCACTGTCACGTTGCGCCGTATGACAGTTTCAAATCAACAC